AGAATATGAATTCCTGCAGTGACGAAAGTTTTAAGTCAAAATCATCTTAGTTTTACTGTCGGCTACGCTGATGATGCCCAGCCCTTAGATCGACATTGATTGCATGAACCCAACCTCACTGCCCACACTCTCATACGGCTTTGATTTGTTCTCATCTTGGATTGGTTATAACTGCCTCCAGATGAACGTTTCCCAAATTTAAGAACAGTACAAATTATGTTACATAGTGTGATCGAGAGAGAAAGAAAGAGCCAGCCGGTCAGAGGCAGGGGAACAAAAGCCTGGATTTAAACAAGGGCAGGGAGTCAATAAAATATAGTGCAGTGGGGCGGGGGGGGGAGTAAAGAACAGAGAGGAAAGAGTGGCTGCCGACTGAGAGCCAAGGGTGGCTGAGGGATTTGAAATAATTCTAGATTTGAAGCTTTCGTGACTGCAAAGATTCATATTCTTAGGTTTTTTCGGTTAAGTCACGTAAGTAAAACATCTAAATAAAAATAAAATAAAATAAAAAATCACGACGTTTCGGAGGCAACACAAGTCTCCGTCATCAGGTGGGACCGTCACAGCCGAATTAGCTGCATCAAGTGAGGCAATGATTCAAGATGTAATCCCTTATAAGCAAGTTGAAGGGAGGTGGAGAGGGGGGGGGGAGAGCTTATCAGACTGTGGTAGCCAATGAATGGAAACGTATCGGGAGGGGGAGGAGCGGTGATCAAAGACTGCACGTAGTGCTCAACACAATGAATGGAAACGTGTCGGGACGGAGGGTGAGCGGTGATCAAAGACTGCACGTAGTGCTCAATACAATGAGCAGAATGGGGGCGGAGAGGCCTGATACAACATGATAGACAAAAGAACGAAAATGTCCATGTTTATACCACTGCGTGCAGTCTTTGATCACCGCCCCCCCTCCCTCCCGATACGTTTCCATTCATTGGCTACCACAGTCTGATAAGCTCTCCACCCCCCCCCCTCTCCACCTCCCTTCAACTTGCTTATAAGGGATTACATCTTGAATCATTGCCTCACTTGATGCAGCTAATTCGGCTGTGACGGTCCCACCTGATGACGGAGACTTGTGTTGCCTCCGAAACGTCGTGATTTTTTTATTTTATTTTATTTTTATTTAGATGTTTTACTTACGTGACTTAACCGAAAAAACCTAAGGATTTGAAATAAACTCTTGGTTGCTGGAGTTCAGAGCGCATGGTGAGGTACAGAGTGAGGTGAGGGGGGGGGAGGTAGGTTCATGAAGGAGATTGGAAATGATGATCGCTATCTTGACATTGACCCAGTGTGGGTGTGATGTCTGGCAGCAGCGTGTTGGATCATCTGCTTCTTTGGAGATGATTTGGGAGGAGCTGAAACAGTCCACTTGGGATGCCATGAAGTCATCGAGTCTCAGAGGTACGTGTGTTCAAGAAGTATTCACAGATGGCTGTATGATGTCCTGCAGAGTTATGTGGGAAGATAATGAGAGCTCTGGATCATTTACAAACCCAGGGGATTCACAGCGTCTTCGCCCAGTGTAGTGTCAGAGTTTAGGAGGCGCATGTTTGCACTGTATTTTAATGGAAACATGTTTTGCTGATTTACAGTATAATCGTAAATCTCGAAAAACTACTCACTTCTAAATCTTTTGTAGTAAATGTTGTATTATTTTAGTATAAATAAATGTACATTTTTATTCATTTGTTTTTTTCCAGATTTTATGTGAACGAAAAGACTCAAATTCGCCTGTTTTCTCATTGAAAATAGGTATATTTCAAAATATCGATGTCCTGGTCGCAAAAGCAAAGTTTGTCGGGAATAATAGTCATTTTCTATACGTTTGAGGCATAAGCAATTAGGAAATAACACTTACTACCCAGGAACCCATTTTTTTTGTTACACGGTGTAATTTGACTATATCCATTGATTATGTACAGCGTGTTGAGAAATTGATTTACACCTAATCCCACCCTTCCACGCATTCTCCACACCAGCAACCAAGGCTTGTTTTTAACAAACCCCTGGTCAACCTTTACTTCTGCAATGGTCTGGAACACCCTTCCCCCAGCTATTCATGCTGTCACCTCCCTTCCCCAGTTCAAGTCCAGGCTCAAGGCCTCTGTCCTATGATCAGCTGCCTCGTTCTCTCAATAAAACAAATATATATAGTTTTTTTATGTGGTGGTTTAGTTACTGCAGCTACATACTATTAACATTCCTTCCCTTTATTAATGCTACCCCTATCCCCTCCCTTTGATGCTGCTAATCCTGCATAATGCACGGGCATAATATGACTTTGAAACCCCCCGCCCACCTCCTACGCATTTCACAAGTAGTACTAATCCCATATCTGCATTTCTCATAAATATGCTAAATTCCTCTTGATATGCAAATTATTTTGTCAAGGCGCTCCTCTTCCCCCTCCAACCCAGCTTAAATATACGCTCCAAGCCTAGTGGTGTTCATTCAGACGCTGTCTTCCCGACAGACCTGTTTTTCACCTGATGACGGCTGCTTGCATTGTGGCCGAAACGTCGTGAGAATTATTTAATTGTTTTATTTTTATTATTTTATTATTTTTCCCTTCTACGTGACTTTACCGAAAGAACCAAGAAGAAAAAAAACAAATATACCCATAGATTCCGTGCAGCATCTTGATGCGTGCGCTGTATCACCGCTCGTTTGTATTGTCTCGTCGCAAGCATGAGAGGTGGTGACCCTCAAGCAACGGTTGGCGTTTTGTTGGCCCGACAACAGCCAAACAACGCAAGCGAAGCTTCACAGGGCCTCCTCCTACGTTCGGTTTGCGTGTGCCGGGTGCGAGATCTAAATAATTTGGACAAAAACTGCGTTGTGTAAACCGTGCGGGCGATGACATTAGTTGCTCAACGAGCACATCACTCGGCCGTAACACAAAGAAAAAGCACGCGGTTAGAACACCTCGCGCTAATGCGCGTGACGCAAGTCCCACGTTCGCCCGCTGTAAATCCTGCACCCGCTTCGTCAAACTTTGCGCGTGTTTCGTGGAATGTCTTCGCCACGGGCCATTCATGGTGGGCCCGGAGCTCCCGTTGTATCGCAGCGACGGTGCACTGTGATGGAACCAAACGGTTGGTGACTATGGTTGCCACCCCGGAGGTAGAAAACACCGTGACATGGTTATGGGCAGAAGAATGTCTCGGACGAGCGAAAGAGGGGAGCAACTACGTGTAAGGGGCCGTCCATAAATGACGTCACGCACCTAGCGGGGGGGGGGGGGGGTCAGATATTTGTGACGATGTGTGACGAGGGGGGGGGGGTGGTTGAGATATGTGACGTCACATCAAAATGCGCAACTTTAAATAAATATAGGCAACACGTTCTACTTAATTAAATAGACTTTCTAATAAATGTTTTCTCCTTCAACATCAAAGTGCAGCGCCACATTAAATACGCACTACACTGACAATAGTTTAAAGCGATTTGAAGCATGGTTTTTTTTTTGGGGGGGGGGGCAGAGCTTTGTGACGTCATATTTGAGGGGGGGTCTGACTTTTTCTGACGCCATGTGACGAAGGGGGGGGGGGGGGTCAAAAATCGTCCAAAATCGCGTGACGTCATTTATGGACGGCCCCTAAATGCATTGTCTTGAATGTTGTATTTATGACGCAACTGACAAAACACCAGGACTTTGAATGTTCTGGGAAGATTTACAGATATTCCAGGACAGCAGTTACCCCACGATTTTGGGATAACCAGGCTGGATAGAAAACTCTTCCCGTTACCATCACGTGATCTGTGGCCCTGTCACGTTATCCTTTGCATTGCCATGGATATCCCAACCACGGCCTTGGTGGCAATGTGTTTCATGTTAAAAGGCAATGTTATAATAAACTTGACTCACCAATTTGCTGTTTCACAAAAAAATGAAAGACCACTTAGTGCTGGGCAGCTTCTCGCGGTTGAGCCGTAACAGCTCCCCGATGTGTTTTCGGTTTGCACGGCGTGTTGTTTTGGCGTGATGTCCAAAGTTTCACTCCACGTGCTGAGAACTTTTAGCACCTCGATAGCCACATTGAGTTTCGGACATGTTCACGTCGTAACTATTCAGACATCGTGCCCAACAACCCAGTGGAATAGCCCCCACAAAACACACCGATGATATTTAAACACCACTATTAGCATATTTACTGATGGTATTTGAGATTGGAGACTTCCAGTTCTACATTTATTTAAAACACGGCCATTGAGTCTGTGCCACTTAGCACAACAAGAAGGCCATTTTCCATGCAACCAAGTTCATTCACCGCTCTGAGGTGTTCTCAGTTACCAACAGAAAAGGCATAAGGGCACTTAAATGTCTCAGAAACTCACTGCACCTTTCACTGCATCTCAACCATTCTAACGCCCTGCCAGTCAAGCCAAGGAGATCCCCAAGGTACACGTAGCAACCAGCTTGCAAATGGACATTAGTCTACTAGACGACGCTACGTGGATGATTGCAATTAAGTAATTTGCGAGTAATTGATCGAATTTTAATAACTTGGCCCGAAACGCTGACACCACGTGGTCCACTCTGCCTCGACAAGCATGGGGCTACATACGAAACCTTTGCTGAATAATTTTTCTTTCAGAAATTGTGTGCGCGTGTGTGCGATGTTATTTGCGTGCGATTCTCAATGGAAATCTTCACCGTCCTCTTGTCCGATGGTTCCTGTCCTATGCCTCCGTCTGTCTCAGTGGTTCTTCCTAACCCGGAGCGCATGCGAGATGCCCTTTCTGGGGGTGCGAGACGTGGCCAGATTTTATTTTTTCAAGGTAAATCATCGAAAACATTAAATTAAGCACGGGCAAATAAGTACAGCTACTTTGTTTCATGAAACCCGATGCGTTTATTAACATGACACATTTTTTTTTTTTACGATCAATGATAACATTGGGTGCAAAGGTGAAGAACCACTGGTTTATCTTAACAATTTCCCTCCACACACACACATCAAGGTCTTCCAATCGCGACACAGGCGTACATGTACGTGTTTTGATTACTTTTATTCATATTTTTAAAAAAGAGGGGAGGGGGGGGAAGGGGGTTCGAGTGTCACAAAAACACGGAGGACAAACGCAGCAGGACAAGTGTGTGTACAACAAAAGAAAAGTCAAGGAAAGGCAACACATAAATATATACATCTTCAGAAAATGTACATCCACAGTTTTCCAGGCTAGTACAAGAGAACGATATGTACAATCATGAGTCTGCGACGACGTAGAGCCAACCAGGGCAGTTTAATATAAAATGATAAAAAAAACAACAACTCAGAAACCATAGGAGTGTCCGTACACATGCGCTAATTGTTGTACAATTAAGCCAGAGTGTGAGCAAGTGTTCACTCATCAGCAGGTTATAGTGCATCATTACACATATTGCACATCGGATGTGAAAGGTTTATTTACAAGTGATGCTGGCTTCTGCGTTTTATATATATACCGTATATATGCACATACAGGATTCCCCATTGGACTGTCCAGGTTTGCTTTTGCATTCCTATGTTTGTGAAGTTTCTGAATCACAGCACATTTTATGTCACTGTAATTATGTTTCGACGATCAAGGTGAATAGACGGGATGAATAATGCATATATAGACACGCACCTCCAGTCAGATACATATACACATCCAGGACATAGCACAGATAAGAGCAGCAGGGCTCTCAATTACGAGAACCTGAGTTCAAAGCCTATCCAGGGTCAACGATGCTCATCATTCTTTCAGGGTGAATAAAACGAGTACCAATTGGAGGGAAGTCAACATTGTTTGCACTATGGAAAGGCTGCTTCCTGCCATAGGGATATGGAATTTGCAGAGCTGCTTGAGGAAAAGGAAAGTACCACCCAACACTCGTTCGAACATGAGTATGTTGCGCTATATCATACGCGGAAAGCAGTTACAGACTGTAAATATACATGCACACATCTAGCTGTGTGGGTTGCAGTTAACGCAGTATGACGTGAATGGGCCTTGTACACGCGACAATGAAGATCGGGTGATTACATCTGGGCGGTTCGTGAAACGATTGAAATTCCTGATAGTTCACAAACTCGGCCTGTCCCAATCAAGCATCTTAGCCCCAAAGACCCTGATGTGCGAATTATTGGCAAAAAAAAAAAACCCCAACAACTAAAATAAAAACGCCCAAAAAGCCCACGCACCCTTTCCAACCAATAAAGTGCCCCATTGTGTCAACATCAGATACACAAGCGCCGTCCCCGTCCACGGCACTGTTGCGTCTACGTGTTGATTCAGACGCTTGAGCCCAGCCGAACTCGCGACTCGCATAGTGGTTATTTTTGGCATCCTCTCCTCTCCTTGAAATCAAGCAATCCTCCAAAGAAAGGCATGATTATGTTGCCCCAAGAGAAAGCGGCCCCGATCTGCGCTCCGATGCTTCTTCCGACCGTGTCCCTCCTTTGGTAGACGGCGAGTGGCGTGGCCTTGCAGATTATTGGGCCCACGACTCCGCGGTGATTTAGCTTCGTCTGTCATCTTCTTCGTCCTCTTCTCGTTGGCTTAAATAATGTTCACATTCACAGAATGATCCTTGTAGCCGTCACATTCGAGCCGTATAATCGACGTTCGCCATCCAGGGCTCGTTCTCTCATTCTACATCAACTGGGCGACTGAATGGGAGAGATCATCTTTTTTTTTGATCTAAAAAAAATTCGGTTACAAAGAGTTTTTACAAGTCCAGTGCAGTGCAGCAGCAAAATTCAGAAGAAAAAAAAATCGATTTGCCCAAAACTGTTCAGTCCGCAATTGCTCCCATGGGCTTTTTGATATTTGTAAGGTCATGGTAGAGGTCGGAGCGCAGGAACCGTGGGTATGAGTCTCGCTCCATCAGCCCATAGATTCGCTTCTGAGCCAAGTCTAATGATGTCACGGTCGGCTTCTGAAGGTTGGCCATCGTCACTTCCCGTGTGCTTGAGTCGAGGTTCACCTGCGATGGGCAAGAGCATTGAACAGAATGTCAACCGGACGTCAAGGTGACGCAGCAATTGCAGAACGGTGTTTAATGACGTATCTCACAAGAGCATCAAAACATGAATTCCCCTCACAAAGTCAATTATTTTCTAGATTTTAATAACACGCGAATTGTTTAAAAAAGTATTATTATTTATCTGCAATGAAAGATCTGCATAATAACATTTGGATGAATGAAGATTATGAGTAGAAAAACTAAATTTTGTTTAAAATATATTGTTAAATGTGGTCAACCATGAGGAAACGCTAAACAACAAGGCACTGAGATGTGAGCTATGATGGCTTTATATAATGGGGGTGTTGACCAAGCTAAAATATGCCATTACACAATCGCATGCCACGAAAATGTTATTCAAACGCATTTAGATGGCAAAACTAAATTTTAATGTATCTCAAAACCTGCGTTCAATTAAACCGTTGATAGTATTTCCTTTAAAAACAACATTACTCAACATAGCACAACAAACACAAGTGCAGAGATTTTAGAAGAATCCATTGCTGGATGGGATTTATTTGACCATACTTCACCACACCGGTCAGCGTGGGGTGGTGAAGACATGGAGCACCACGGATGCGGGGCATAGAAGTACAGCACAACAATGGATTTTGCACCATTGACTGCTTGCGATTTGTCTCCCGGGCACCGGTGTGGCACGAGGTCGCTCACCTCTTTGGGGGACTGGATCGCGATGAACTCTTCCGAGATCTTTTTCGACTTGGAGACGAGCTTCGAGGTTGAGCGCGCGCTCCGCTTGAAGTCTTCGCACGCGAGCCAGAAGTCGATGTTCTCCTCGCTGAACTCCGTCTTGAGGAAGGCACGGAAAGCTGCGAGGCCGTCTGCGAGGGGGCACAAGCGCGACGAGAGCAGGAAGCATTATTATTGAAAACCGCATTTCAACATTAAACAAATCCCATAACTGTTCGGGTTTCCGTTGTACCACCTCAAGAGTCCAGAGATAGTATTCATACGTATTTCTTTTGTTTTACTAATGGATATTTTTTTTTTATGATTTGAGCGATTATCACCAATTATTATGTCGCCAACAGATGTGTGGATAACACATAGCTACAATAAGGGACGCATTTTGAATGAGGAATTAACTGCTGTGCAAAGGTAAAATGTCAATATTATTACAATGCGCATCTTTTGGTAAACTGACCCAAGGCTAAATGCACAGGCAAAGCCAATTCCCCATCATTTTCATTAACACTGCCCTATCACAATATATTACTGGGCTAAAATTCCCTTTTGTTTGTACTTGTACGGCACTTCCAATGTTTAACGCGGCTGCATGCACGATTAGCAATCTGTGGAAGTTAGCAATCCAGTTAAAAATGGCAAAGTACGGGAGTCACAAATTACAGATGCAACAAACACAACGTTTAGCGGCCCCGTAATAATTGGCAGAGCCTTCCGATGTACGTCATACCTAATTAAAGTAACAGTCTCATTACTGGTAACCACTCTCGTCTTGCCAGCCACTACAGGAAATTCTTGCGTGCACACTAATGACCGCCATGTACACACAAGTGCCTACTGTGCAAGTTCAAAGTGAGTCAGAGTTTCAGGGGATGCCCCTAAGGGCAAAAGCCCTCGCTGTGGCCGCTGTCGTTTGTTAGCCAATCGCCGGTGTAAACGTGGCTTCCGTGAGTGCGCAACGCAGAGCTCGGCCACAAACGGCAGCTGCCCGCTTCAGACATCCGGCAATGACAAGCGCAAAACTTCTGCGTCTGGGGCGGTCTAGCGCAGGCAGGAAAGTGGTGCAGGCGAGCGTCTGCACGTCTGAGCACGTGCAGACGGGATCGTCTGCTAAAATCCCCATCCGTGATGTGGTTCGCGGCTGGTGTTCAGCGAGCCGTGTGTTTCCAATGGCTGTAGGAACCCGGGCACGTAGTGTCGCCGCTTCTCAGGAGGGTATTTACAACGCATCGCGGCGAGAGTCGGTGGCGTTCGTGAAAGATCTGCAATGGTTACGCCGTGGCCCGCAGAAGCGTAGCGATCGAGTGTGCAGGCGGTGCAAATGCACCAGGGAGGGCCCAAGGGCTGGAGGGGACCCAGGCCCTGGGCCACGAAGATGGGAGGACAATTGCTCAGGAATGGCCCAACCATTGATCCTGCCGCTGGTATGCCAAGTGCGAACGTATGGATTGCATTAATAATGTGCACATGATTTCGATTTGAAGCTTTCGTGACTGCAGGGATTCATCTTCTTGGTTCTTTCGGTAAAGTCACGTAGAATGGAAATAATAAAATAATAAAAACATAATAAAATAATTCTCATGACGTTTCGGTCACAACGCAAGCAGCCGTCCTCAGGTGAAGAACAGGTATGTTACCTGAGGACGGCTGCTTGCGTTGTGGCCGAAACGTCGTGAGAATTATTTTATTATGTTTTTATTATTTTATTATTTCCATTCTACGTGACTTTACCGAAAGAACCAAGAAAATGTGCACATGCTTTAAGGAAATGGTATCATCCCAGGCTGGTCAAATGCGACAGCAAATGCAAAAGGGTGAAGTTATTGATGTTTTTCTTTACGTATTTATGATGAGCCCAAAAGCATTAGTATCTACACTAAAAAAGTTATTAAATTTAATTATCATAACATGTGCTCATTGTTGTGCCATGCGCATTTAGTGATGGCCTTCTTTTAAACTTTTCAAAAGCCTTGCATTGTATCGTGAGGCTGCAGGGGCAGACAAGATGGACCACAGTTTGAAAAGGGGAGAGCACAAATTTAAATGAGTAAGTGATTTATAATAAACGCTGCCCAGAAGAAGGTGGCTTTGTGTGCTTGCGTATTTGCAATGCGCGAATGTGTGTACTTTGGCAGGGCCTTACATTTATGAGCCAGAAGTTTTTCGAATGATTCAGACCATTTCATGGCATCTTCACAGCTTGGCCTGCCCAATAAAAAAAAACACCACAAGCATGAATGTCAAGAATGCACCAACAAGTTAGGTATTACATTGGTGGAACGAATCAATTCTGACTCCATAGGAATAACCAAATATTAGCATTACGATTTCAACTTTCAATCCCGCCAAATGTTCCCGGATATATACGAGTGAAAATATGTACGAACAATGAGCTATAACGGAATTAAACATTTCAGGCCAGCTAAATAAACATTTATACTGGCAAATATTTATATAACCAGATGCTTTTAAAATTAGTGTAGTTGCATGTAATGGTCCAATTTGACAATATGAAACACCACCAGCAGCAGCAACAACAACAACTGAGCCACACTGCATTGCTTATCCCACCAGACTAGGACCAAATCGTAAGCTTCATGCTGTCAGGCCGTGCAAGGGTTAATCTGTTCTGTCAAAAACAAGCGAAGTATTCCCTCCTTATTCATGAGGAATACATTCTGGAAATGCTCGTGAATAGCACATTTTGCGCATAATGATATTGGCCTACGAAAAAACCCTATATTTTTAATGAATTACCTTAAACAAATACATAAAAAAGTTTTCTCTCTCATCATTTCATCTCAGCACTTTATCTCATCACTTTCTCACGTAACTTTCTCTCTCGTCGTTTTCTTTCCATCTCTCTATCCCTCTCGATGCAGTCACGTAAGAGTTCCACGTGCGATTCGCGGATAGCCCGAAAATCTCCGGCAGCAAGTTCGTGAATAACGAGGTCTGCCTGTAGCCACAACTCTTACCGAGAGTGCTTTCCCAGCGCTGGACCGCTGGCCGCGGGGAAGTCCGAAGGGTCGGGTTTTCGTCGCAGAAACCCAAGTCGACTCTTCATGCCCTTGGCCCTGTGACGGCAGAACGTGCGTCATGATCACCCGCGCCGTGGCACTCGAACACAGCTCCCCACATCGCTGAGCATCAACAGAGCCGTCAAAACTCCATGCGTGCACACGTTTGTCCAGCACATGGCGATACGTTGCAAAGTAGCACTGTGATAACGTACTCTTCGTTCCGTAAAATGATGTTCGACAAAAGGTCTCTTTAATTCAACGAGTGTGAGTCGTTTTTAATCTCTGAAATATTCCGAGGCAATGGTGTAAATTCCACATTCCTACGGTAGGGATCAGTCTATCTGTATGACAGCCACCATTTAAAATTCCACAATCGTGGTAGTAATTTTATTGACCCCAGAGGGATGGTGGGCTGAAGTCAACCCCCATTAAAAATGTGAACTTGCAATCTTGTGACCGGGTCACGTGAGTCAAGAGCCCTAACACGCTGCCACCCAGCAGGATTACGTTCAATTGTCCGTATTGAACCTAACATAATTCCCCAAGACCCCAAATTATATTGCCGTACATTGTTACGTCATTTGATATGTAAATAAAATGATTCTATTTTACAAGATTAAATATATGCAGCACTCCCAAAGGGGGAAATGCCCTTTACGATGACCCTGTTCGCGAGCACGGATGGTGGTCAGAAAATAGCTCGTGCCCCACCACGTGTCCACGTGCCACCATTCTGACACTTTGTCATGGGACCGTATCGCTGTGCTAAGACTGGATCTGTTCGTTCCCTGTCTCGCCTCCTCTGATCTATTTTAAAAACACAACGAGGCATTCAGACCGAGACTACTGAACAAATGTGCCATCTTCTATGAAATTCAGCTCTCGTAAAAAAAAAACACCTTTATCAGAGTAATGTCGAATGATAGTCATCGCATTGATTTGTAAATGCCAATTTTCTGATGTCTCGGAGCACATCAGGGCATGTCATAATGAATTGTTAACAAGACAGCGTCGACAGGAAATTCAAGACAAATCCACCGATACGTTTCAACACAAGTCAAGACAATTCACACACATGCGTCCGTAACATCACGCACGGACGCAAAAAAGGCACCGAACATGCCAAACAACTCGCTTCCAAACGCCGCAACAACAACATACATTTGCGAATTTCACAAAAAACGATACCATAAAAGTAAAATCATAACGATTCGTACCTCTCCAGGTAGCTGCCCTGCAAATTGCTGATTGTATCGAGCATGTTGACAAATGTGGCCGGTGTGGCAGTCGGCACGCTACTAGGCTAGAGAGACACGACAAGTCAGCCGCCAACACGCGCGCGTTTGCTAAAATCTGACGGGAGCGCACTAACTTGCGCCACACTTAAACAAGCCACAGTGGGTGGAGCGTGGGGCTGGAAAAAGAACCGATGTGTTTCCTATTGGTGGGAATGAGTGGTGAGGTGGGAGGGCGAGGGGTGGTTTATTGCATTGGGAGGATAAAGCCACACAGCACATCCACTGACTGCACTGTGGATGCCTTTCGCACCCCCCCCTCCCGCCGCAACCTAAAATAAACCGCACAACCAGAGCCGGAGCAACGCAGACTTGAACACGAGCGCCACCTGCTAGGTGCGAGTGCATTTTGCTGCCGAGACATTCAATTGCTGCTGTTCGCTAAACACAATTTTTAAACTCGGGGTGGTGAATGGTGACGGTTGAGCAATGGGTGATGTTGACTCGCTCAACGCCACTTGCTCGTCTCTTTGGAGCTACCACTGGACGTCATAGCTCATCTTCTTGGTTCTTTCGGTAAAGTCACGTAGAATGGAAATAATAAAATAATTAAATAAAACATTATAAAATAATTCTCACGACGTTTCGGCCACAACGCAAGCAGCCGTCCTCAGGTGAAGACCAGGTCTGTCGGGGAGACAGCGTCTGAGGACGGCTGCTTGTGTTGTGGCCGAAACGTCGTGAGAATTATTTTATTATCTTTTATTTTTATTATTTCATTATTTCCCTTCTACGTGACTTTACCGAAAGAACCAAGAAGATGAATCCCTGCAGTCACCAAAGCTTTAAATCGAAAAAAAAGCTTCATAGCTCATTGGTTTTCTCCAGGATAAATAAAGATGCTGATTCTGAGAAGAGCCACCGGCGAGAGAGGGTTCTAAAGAGGCCCCCCTCTAGACGGTGTTTTGGCCTACTCTTTCATGCTGGCCAGACGTCTTGGAAGAGGTGGAAGTGGCCACACTTTACCCACCACACACAACCTGCCAACTCATTTATCACTGCCGCCCATTGATATTTATCAGAATCAGAATACGTATTTGTACTTGCACTGGAGGAAACACACAAATTAAGTTGTGTGTTCTCTGCTCGTTGATTTTCTTTTTATATTTTGTGTTACTTGCCTCTTTATATTGAGTGTATTTTTGTTCATGAGATATAACAATTGTAAAACGACGAATTTGGATTAAAATAAAACACTATTTGTATCCTTCCATGGTCGTGCATCTTGTTTAAGTTGTTATATTTCCATTAAAAGTTATGCATCGTTACATGTCTACCAATTTATGGAAAGATAACCGTAGACTTTTTTCCATGCCCACTACTTCAAATTTCCACCATGGGGACACTACCTTTGCGCTACCGATGTAACTCTGCAAACTGATAAATATTCATTTCCCGGCGATGTCCTTCAGCAGCGATTGTTAAAAAAATAAGACATCTCCTAAGCACATCGATGCTACATCCACAGCTGAAACATTTTGCATAAGCACTTTTCTACGTGGATTGACAGGGCAATAATAACATACTGGTGGTAAGATCCATACGTAATATATCATGAACCATCTACTCCCACCTTGACCCTTCATGATATAGTCTCCATGTGTTAAGTCTGCGCCCTAGTACATTTCATTCTGATGTTTGACATCACGTCAGGATGCTAATAACTATATATTTCCTAGGTGTCACGTGTATCCCAAATGCATAGGCAGCCGACAATTCTTTTGACTGCGATGAATGTATTATGGTGTATCGGATTGGGAGTGTGCATGTTTCGGGAACACTATGGTCACATGGCTGTTCGCCTTTGGAATTCTCCGGTTTGACACCCGTGAGACTAGGCCCTAAAGAAGGCTGTCTCTGGTGTGGAACAATCTGTTTAAAAAATAATACCATATATTATCAGAGCGTTGTTTGTGTGGATGTTCGCCACAAGTACGTGTGGTTAATGCAGACATGATTCCTTGCAAAAGGTTTCTATTTGGTGTTTGAACATCTTAACACCTCCTGTTTAATTGCCAGAAAGGGTAAAACCTATTCTATGCAAGGAACAGTCTCTGACTACCACATGTAGATAAGCCCCTCCCTCCTCCCCTTAACTTGTATTTAAGATCTTGTCTCATGGATTTCTCCTCACTTGATACAGTAAATTTAGCTGTGACGGTCCCACCTGAAGACGGAGGCTTGTGTTGCCTCCAAAACGTCGTGATTTAATTGAGTTATTTTCATTGATTACTATATTTATTATTTTTTACCTACCTGACTTTACCGAAAAAAACCCTAAGAGTATGAACCAAACCGTTTTTCAGGAACCAAACGGTACTTCAGGATTCCTGAAGCGATGTGGCGCGAGATGTTGGCTAACGTGATGAGCCATGCGTGGCACCAACGTGGAGCGGTGTCCTCGCTTTGTGATGAAACAAACACTGGCATCTTGAGTCGCGCGACAGTCTCAAACGCCGTTTTTCAAATTGACGATGACATTTGAACGTTGTGTATTAGAATTAAGTACACATCGTTACGTTCGAAAGTGTTGTGGAAATAAACAATGTTCAGTGCAAAAGAGATCGTTATTGTTGACACTCAGCTTCACGATGGTTTTTGAGTTTAAATGTTTTGCACTTTTTAAACAAATGTGCTAAAACGGGTGCACGTCAAACGCCCAATCGCTTAAAAGCAGTTCCACTGCGTTTCAGTCACTTCCGCTAGTATATAACATCTCTTCATGGCCTTGCCCCACCGTTACCTCGCTACCCTCTTCGCAGAGGTCGCAAACGGGTTTTGATTCCTTACTCGTACCCATACCCGGCCGCACCAGGGTCGCAAATGGGTACCCGTTCCCTACCCGTACCCGTACCCTACCCGAAATGAGTGACAAACGGCTACTCACCAGTGACTCACGGCCTACCCGTACCCGTACCTGACCGCACCAGGGTCGCAAACGGCTACCCGTACCCGTACACGGCCGGGTACGGGTAGCCGGGTATCGGGTAGGGTACGGGTATCGGGTACCCGGTTGCGACCTCTGCCTCTTCGTCTCGTTTCATGTCCCCTCCCGCCCCGCTCCGCTCTCAATCTCTACAACTCCTCACCCCCCTCTCGCTTGTGCACAATCACCGTCTCCGCTCCGTTTTCCTACTCGCCCCCTTGCGCTGGAACAAACTTCCCCTCCGCATGAAGCGAGAAGCACCCCTCTCTCCCTGTCGAGTTTCCGCTCCTCGCTCAAGACCCCCCACATCTTCCACCTGGGCCCATCCTTCCCTCCATCCCGAGGCACCCCCCGTAATTCTCGTACCCGCGAACCTCATACCACGATCCCTATTCACCGTATCACTTTAAGCTACCCTCATTGTACCACTCAACACCCTTGTAAAGCGCCCTGGATAAAGGCGCTATAGAAATATAAGATAAGAACTCACTCCCAAACACAGCACGAACCCGTTTGTCCATCCACTACTGGATGAGGCCTTCACCCACATCATATGGGTCATTGGGGTCATCTGACCAGACTTTGTCGTGCTGGTGAGTGCTGGTTGGCGAAGGTGGGGAGGGATAGCGGGGGATGAGGTGGGGGGGACATAGACGTGGGAGCAGAATACAGCACAACAGCAGATTTTGATGCATTGCCATCTGTTGCCCGCAATGTAACCCCACAGCAGCCTAGAGCACACTGTTTCACTCATGCTGGTCGCTTATACAAGCGCTATCCAGACCCAGATGCTCTTCATGCGATGGCCAAATCAATCCTATCGTAAAATAAAATAAAAATATCCCTGCAAGTCTATAAATAACAGTGTAACTATAATAACCCTTGCACGAAGACAGGGACTAACTGTGTGGAATGCGCACGGGACTGAGCAGTGTCAATGGACTGTAGACACGAAGGGGCTCGTACAATGCAGGCAGTCTGGGTTTGGCACAATATGTGCTCTGTTCTCTCGTGGGCCACGTCAACAAATGACAATGTCGGCTCCACCACATCCTGTTCTCTCCACCTCGGATCATCCGATGAGCTAATGGTGCGTAATTAGTGCGCGCGCGCGCGCGTGTGTGTGTGTGGCCACGGCTCCGATTTCCCCATGACAGTCGCCTCTCTTCCCTGAGAAGGTCAGTGTTTACCACCACCCCCCAGAGGAAAGCATCAATTGAGACACCGTCTCCCGATGACATTTGAAGAGAAACTGACAACATGATATATCATCATGGGACCTCCTTTGCCAGTACCAAAATATACTAATAGGGTTTTTCCCCTTTTTTTCTGGCAACAAAACTGACACCTTTTGCAAGGAATCATGTTTACATTAACCGCAATACTTGCAGTCAAATGAAAACAAAAAACAATACTCTGATAATTTATGCATTGTCCCTGAAACTCTAAAGAAAGCTGTCTCTGGTGTGGACCAATCAGTTTCAAGGACAATGCATAAATTATCAGAGTATTGTTTTTTGTTTGCATTTGACTGCAAGCATTGTGGTTAATGTAAACATGATTCCTTGCAAAAGGTGTCAGTTTAGTTGTCAGAAAAAAGGACAAAAATCCTATTAGTATTAACATGATATAACTTTATGCGGAGTTGTTTTATTACTACTTATTTACACTTTTTTTTTACCCAGGAAAGCCTCAATGGGTCTCAAGGAGTTTTTCTTACGAGGGTAATGCTAAGTTTTCAACAGTAGAGGGAGCAAATGCTCGCCGTGTCTTTCCCGATTCATTTTTCTAACTTGCCAAATTTGGAGCATGAGAGCAGCACGCAATGGCCTACCCTCCTTCGAATTGCCACGTACACGGTGCCAATGTCACGGTGAGTACACTCGCAGTGCTAACTAGGGCACACTGCTGGAATCCGAACTACGAAGCTCTCCAAGAAACGGCGGACGCGCTACCGTTGGGCGATGCTTCGTGTGAATCATACATTCAATGCCATCGGGAGTTCCAGAATATACAAGAGAGTGCAATTCGTTGGCACGTTTCATGAAGGGCACTGCAAGATCCCACCGTGTAGGTCCAAGTGCTTGCTGAGCCGCATTTGACATTAAGTGCTCGCCGCAAATGAACCACCAATAACCTCGCTGATCTCGTCAAGAGCACAAACCATCACGCGAACTCCAGCTGTCCTCGCAGTGGCGGCTTTTGGCTGCTGGCCATCGAACAAAGACGGTCGCCGCATCGCGCGGCGCTTTCAGATGCGCTTCTGCGCCCGTCTGGAACGCTCTCTTACTTCCGATATTAGGAAGCCACTTTTAGCTATTCACTTTTAAATCTAGTTTGAAAAGAGAACTGCTTTTTAATGTTGAGTGTGTTATCCTTCCCCCACACCTTAGATTAGCACGGTTGGCTACGTACGGCGTAAATTACTTAATTGGGATTACGCACAGGAGCAACTTTGCCCCCCGACTGCAAACAAAAACTTGGCGGGACCCTCCTGAAAAGCAGGCTGGAGACTCCGTGAGGCTTTCCAAGGTAAACAAGCGAAACATGAGCAATGGTATTCAAGTGGTGCCCTTGCATATTGAATCGGAGCTCTTGGTGTCGCCCCTCTTGATTTCACAACGCCCTGGTTGTGCAACCCCCCCCCAGGAGTGTTGTCATCGTGAGACAAATCCGGCCGTGACGTGTGTTCCATTTCCATTGCTGCTGTTTTCAACAGCTGCCATGACGGAGCTATGGCACTTTCAAGTCTGGATTGAAAACTCATTTTTTTTAGAACTGCTTTTTTGTGTTCAGTTTGTTGTCCTTCCCCGCACCTCCGATTAGCACAGTTGGCAACGTACGGTGCGAAAGAAGTTCAACGCACATATGTAGCATTCATAACTACTTTATAGGCGTACCAGGGACAGTGGTCGGTTGCGTGATGTGCAGATTGCATTTCACATTCACAACAACAGGGCAACTCTTTCACCGAGACACTTTGCGAGTGCCACTCAACCGCCCTCGTGGGAAATGTTCCGTGCTGATTCAAAATTGACGCTCCTTTGGCAATCCACTGATAGGATACGGCCCTCGCCTACCATCCCAGCCATGTGGGTCAACTCAATTAAACCACTTTTGAGTTTCCAACGAGCGGCGGCAGGGCTGCGCGTGAAACCAACGAGGTGTTGAGTTAACGTCAAACTGGGATGGCCTTCCAATTACGTTCTGCGTGATCGGTCACGGAACTTCATTAAACACATTCCTGCGGAGGGAGCTGGTAGGAACGTTGGGTTGCTCGGTCAATGGCCAGGGTCAACGGCGGCGTGGTGTATTCCGCAAATATGCCCGACTGTGAGGGCGGGCACAAGCCGGCGTGAGTAGGTGAAACGTTGAGTTTTATAAGGGCACCACGGGGTGACCAGCCCTATCCCCACCCAGCCCCACTCCACCCTCCCCACCCAGCCCCACCCCACCCAGCCCCACCCTCCCCACCCAGCCCCACCCTCCCCACCCAGCCCCTCCCCACCCTCCCACTCCCCGCCCAGCCCCTCCCTCCTCATCCAGCCCCTCCCTGCACGACGGACGGACACAATAATCCCCTGTGGGCTGGTGTAACCAGGAGGTTCCTACCCGTAGTATATGTGTGCAAGGATATGTGCACTGATCAGCGTGGTGAAGTATGGTCAAACAACCCCCATGGCTGACATGGTGCGGGAAGGTCGTCATCTGGCAGTGGGTTGAAACGCGGCTGTGAATTGTAATCTTATTGTCGTTATGTCGGCTTCATATTCTTTGTAGATTTTAAGTGCGACTGATCTTGCCAGAACTGTCTTGGAAACGAGATGTGACGCCTAAGGGTCTATCCGGATTAAATAAGGATTAATAAATAAATAATCAAATTACAAGGTTTCATAAACCATGGCTGCTTTCTCAGTGATGCAGAGGGATAATACCTTGGTGGTGATTGCAGAACAACTGAAATGAAATAAAACAACGAATGCTCTGCTCACTGTGAGTAAAAGTAAGTAAATTTCATATAATTATCATGCGCGCCTGATCTCTGAAATAGTACATGCCCTACACGAGATGCATAACGATGCACCGACTCATCGAACAATATCGACTTGTAGCTCACGATACATTTATAAATCGTGCGGGCACGCATCAATGTTTTTCAATTCATATCACAGCGCGTTGCATGCGGGGCTACGTGATGGACAGCAGGGGGCAGTAAAGAAAAATCCATTATTGTACCGTAATCAAATCTTGACTGAAAGCTTTCGTGACCGCAGTAATTCATATTCTCTGGGTCTTTCGGTAAAGTCACGTAGATATTATTATTTTGCTATCTACGTGACTTTACCGAAAGACCCAAAGAATATGTACCGTACTTCTTTTGCACTCCCACGTCTATGCCTATGCTCCCCGCCTTCGCCAAACCGCACTGAACCGCGCGGTAAAAGTATGATTAAATAACCCCAACGACCCACGCAGCGACGGGTCGACTAAGGGGCTGTAAGTGCACGTGTCTTGTTGCGTGGAGCTCGCAGCGACTCGTAGCCGCCACATTCGCCACGTGTGAAACACAAACAACACGAAGCTTAATTGAGCTCTACAACGCGTGTTTATATATATGTGTGTGTGTGCACGCGTGCGTGTGTTTCTATACAACACGCACGCGAGGCATTCATTGCAAAGTTTTTTTGCCCGAGGGAATAAAGTCAGCTCATAAGTGAGGCAAGCAACACGTGTCAGAACTGTTCACGGGCAATGTGAGCGCTTAGTGTGAGACGTAAACTCCCCGATTGAAAACAGTGGTGAACGCTACGCAATGAAAACAACACTGTTGGACAAGCGCAGTGCCTGTTAATTACCCAGAAATGCCTCTTGGGGTCTCAAGATTCCTATTTTCAGCACAGTCTTGCAATGGGGGATGTTTTTTTCTTCTTCTTCTTCTTCCAATGCAATTACATTACTTTTGGGAACGTGGAAGGAAACCAGAGTAGGCACGCGTGTGTGCGCATAACACTCAGAAGCACGACGCAGATTCAATCCAGATATCCGATATATTGAGTTGTCTGTGGACTGAATCAATAAACTGTTACGAACTATTTATATTTTACCCGGTATAGCCCACTGAGCTCTATAGCTCTTCTTTCAGAAGCGACCTGGTCGCAAATGATAGCACAACGTGTTGGAAATGTATATCGGTCAAATACTGTTCGTGAATATTTCTCAATGTGGACGGAAAAACCGGAGGACTTGGAAAACAATCCACACGACCACGGGGCAGAGAGATGCACGCAAACTCAAAATATACAGCCGTCAGGGTCGGGATCGAGCTCACGAGCCTCCTGCATACCAGGCGAGACAAATAACATCTCAATCTTGACGACATCTCGCCGCTGACACCTCCTAGCCACCTCACAGCGCCCCAACACCTACAACACCTGGCAAGCCCCGGTTGCTCACCCATCCGAGCGCAAACGAGGTACCCCCCCCCCAACGCTGCCGCCCCTCCCCCCCACCCCCGCGGTGCTTAGCTTCTGAGATCAGGTGAGTTTGGGTGATGTGGTCATAGAAGAACAACACTAATCAAGTGAAAATTGAAAGTCGGTGGGAGGAGTGGGGGGGGGGCAACTTACAGGTTGGTGGACTTCTGTTTGTTCTTTGTGCCGCCGTCCGTCTCGCCGATGCCCATGTCGGGCGGGGACACCTGTGAAGAGAGAGCAAGAAAATGACGAACGGGGAAAAAAATAAAACGAGAACCATCGCTGGCGGCCCACGCGGCAGGCAAGAGCGCCCCTCTCAGCGTTCAGCGCTGTTCACGGGAAGCAATTCTCAACCTCGCGCCTGCCACTTGATACGAGGCGCCAACGCGTTGCACTCAAAGTGCCCCACTGGCACGGACGCAAAGGAAACACCCTCACCCGCACCCCACCCCCCGTGAGAAGAGTTAACAAGTAGAAACGTCTTTTTCTTCCAAATTTAAGCTGCAGCTCCTAACATCTCCTGCACACCGTTTTCGGACAAGCCACGCAAACGGAATGCCCTTTGCAGGGGAGATGGGCAAAAAACGGCGTCATGTTTTTTTTTTCTCGGAGGCATTCGTGAAGGCAGACGCTGCCACGAGCTAACGTCGACGATCCCAATGATGATAATTCCGCGGCAGCTGGGAGGGGCGCGTCCGCAGTAGAACGACACGTTTTTGAAAGGGCATCACAGACCCCTTTGCTGAACCTCGTAATAAGTGCCGCGCACTTACAAAAATATATAAAGACCGGACTCGTTTCCTCCACGTGTTTTAATTACCTGGGTCGTTTGAAATATCTGCCTTTGTTCTTCATAGACGCTGTTCGTATCCCCTCTCGGCATTCGCGCGCATCGTAAATCGGAAACTGCTCGCGAGGTGGCAGCTGCTACGATGCCACCGTCCCGCACGCATATGGGGCGCGCGAGTCATGAGCCTGCGGGTGCGGATGAATGGGTTTTTGAACAAGACTTGTTTTTGTCTGCCCTCGCTGCGGTGGGTGGAGTTGGGAGTTACCGACCCGGCCAATTGGCCAGCCCCGAGCCACACGTTCCCATCCGGGGGCCCGGTCCCACATTTGGTTCAACCATGGGCCACGACGGAAAAGCGACGGGATGCAAGAAAAGTGCGTGGCACGAGCAGAAGCGACTGCTAAACTCACAGTGGCCGTGGACACGCTGGGGAAAGGTAGGCGGAGTGTGAAATGCTCGCAACGCTCTCCTGTTCAACGGCCCCACCTCTTCACACAATAGAAGCGTCTAACCTTCCAAGGCAGGCATGTGCTTGACTTTGGAATGTGCCACTTTCAGCAAGTATGGGCGTTTTGGTGCTTCGCGAACATTCATCACCCACCCACACTTCCCGCTTGGATGCACCCACGCACAGTTAGCATTGCACTTTGTAATTGAGGTGGGACCCACCAGAGTTTAGGTTGTGATGGAAAAAGAGTATAGACAAGCATGAAGGTGCAGCCCTGCAATTGCTTGCTCACTCTGCCGTTGGCGGAAGGGCCTCCACTGGAGGGAGCTCTAGACTTTTGACTTTTAAACAACTTTCATTGTCGCCAGCAGCAACAGCACTGGAGGCAATTCCGATATGAAATACACAGTCACCAGCAAACAAATAATCGCTATAAATCCACGCGCTGTGGCGCTAAATGCAGCGGGTACAACACAAAAGAAAAGTCACGTGGTGGTGGTGGTAGTGGTCATCGCGCACGCCACGGTGACGAGCGAGCGCTTCAGAAGGTGAACACCACGAGGGTGCCGTCCACGCTGGTACAGAGGGCTTTTCCGGCTCCCCAGCGTTCGAAAAAGACGCGCACATTACCGACATGTGTGTGGTATGCGTGCTCCAGCCGGAGCCGCGCCTTAAGCAGGCCCCTGAACACTGGAAGCACAGAGAGAGCCTCTCTAGAGGGTATATTGGTCTACTCTTCCATGCTGGCCAGATGCGTTGGTAAACTAAACTAAAACAATTTTTATTTTAAGGCCCACTGAGCTATATATAGCTCTTTTTTCCGAAGTGACCTTGCCGCAAACGACAGCTCAGAGTCGTGGCTTATCACGTAGAAATGTATAGCAACCAAATACTCTGAACGCGTGTTTCTAAATGTGGAGTGGAACTAAAGAAACGGAGGATCCGGAGAAAAATGGGTGCACCCAGACTGTTGGCGATCGCCGGATTTGCAGCACCCATTTACACTGCTGGGCGGACAGAGGCAAAGTTGGTTTGAGAAATCGGCCCATTGTTTCAAACTGCCACTCCGGGGAGATGGAATCGAACCGGTGACCTCAAATTTGCAAGTCCAGCCCCGCTGACCATTACACCCGGCAAAAATCCGTCCGAGACCGATTACGGATTAAAAAATTAACCCGTAAAAACAAAGTTTTTCACTATAAATCCTTTATATGCGTGGCGGCTAGAGTCCTCTCGTCCTCTGGCTTGGGATGGCTGCCACCTATGGGTCAGATGATTGTCTGCCACCATTAAGCAATTGGTAATTAAATATTTTAAAAAAAATTCCTAAACAGTGTAAAATTTTGGAATTTTTTTCACGAAAATTAATTGTCACGCACAACGAGTCTGTGTGCAAAATGTCAGCTCGATTGGATCACAGGAAGTGGGTTAAAAAACGACTGAAAGATTTGCACGGTCGTAAGCAAGCAAGCACGCAAGCAAGCAAGTGAACTTAATATAAAGGATTTAAAAAAAAGTATCAGCGACCGACTTCAGGGCCACGTTGTGACCAGTGCGTGGGAAATCTGATCTCGCCCCGAGCAAAGAGCAACGCTTTGTCCCCCGAAGGGCACGGCACACGAGCCTGGCGCCTCTCGTCCCGATTAGCGCTTTACATTTACGGCTACTACTACTAAATACAGCCGTGGCCTCTGTGATGTCACCACAGTGCATTTTGTACATGGGGGGGGGGGGGGGGTGTGATTTAAAAAAACTGAAAAAGAAAACAGGTGTCGGCTTTACACTGTTTACACGGGAATTGAACGTGTAACATTTCGGCAAATTCGTGATACGGACATGGACACCATTCTCTTGGAGGACACGCGACTACACCTGTGTCTGATACAAGAGACGTATTTACTCAACTGCTGGTGTCCGTCTCCAAATATGATCTCTTCTTGCTCCTCTCAATCACAATAATGATTTACTTTTTTTTAATCCAGGAAAGTAGCAACAACTTCATTTCAGGAGGGTTCTGCATTAGTTTTTTTTTACATATCAAGGTGTTTTTGCCCAATTAATGAGTGTCTATTATACGTGTGGGAGGAAACCGGAGGACCCGGAGAAAACCCACGCATGCAAGGGTGCAACACTCTATCCCTGTACAGATGGAAACACATGGAGTTTAGTCCACTCGCTGTCCTGCCTTTTCCTGGCAAGCCAGGGTACGGCACCTCCTCGATACCCATGGGAATGGCGTTCACAGCATTTCTGTGATCCACAAACCCTTGCCTCCAGACTGTGGATTGCAGGCAACGTGCATAGCCACCGCTGTCCGGCGAGAACGACCGGTTTATTCTGTAGCGTTCAGTTGAATGGCAACGTTGTGCAAAGTTGTATTGACCTCTGATGAATGACGGGGCTAAGTTGACAATGATCAGGATTTTTACTTTCTCCATCGCATTTTTGAGTGGAGCATTCCAGCTGCAGGTTACCTCTGAAAAAGAAGCTAATGGCTCAGTGGAAAATCACACTTTTTTGTGTGATTTGCTTACCTCCTATTGTGTTGTTGTATTGTTTGTTTGTTGTTGTAACTTTCTGACCCTCCCTAACTGGACATCTATGAAAAAGAGCTTTCTGGCTCATCGGATTCCTCCCCCAGTATCAATATGATTCTGAACGTGCTGCGATTCTATGCTTGCGCAAGGGCACTACAGTACGTTCAGGGGTTCACTGCCAGAGTCAGGGTTCTGCGAGCCACGAGAGGCCTTTCAGGAGAGAGTTCGTGTAGTTTTGCTATTCCTCCCTTGCTGCAGATGAGAACTCAGTTTTAATCATGGGCATCTAAAACGTTGAGTTAAACCCAGGATCTCAGTTGTGCGAGCTCAATATCATGACCCGCCCGGGTCACTGTTAAGGCACTCGCAAGCACTTTTATCTACTCAATCCTGACACGTAGGCCACTATGGAAATGTAATTCACCAGTGTGTTTGTCTAAGATGTAATTTTCTCATACATGTACATCTGAAGCTTTCTCTTGTCTCCCCCCCTCCACCCCAAAAAAACTTTTAACTTAATTTGCCTGTCAAAATGGGTGGATCTGTTGTCAGAGGTCTGACTCAGTGCTAGAAGAAACGACAGTTGTGTAACGTCACACAGCGCACCGCTCATAATTCATCTTGGGGCAAAAAAGTAATTAACTTTTGGTTTGCTGGCACGGGTTTATATTATTATTGAGCATAATGATCATGACTCCATGTGTACTTTACATTGTCTGGATTTGTTCCCCTTAATTTTACTCAACTATTGTCAACTCCCAAGTAAAAAATAACAACGCTAAGAGCATTTAGAAATGTCCAATAAAAGATGTTATGACAGTTTTTCTTAACATATCACAGGCCCAAGGTTTTACAGACAGTCATCTTCAATAACAAAGGCCCCTTGATTCTTCCCGTCAGAATGAGCTCTTGATCAACTCTGTACAACAACAAATACAGTGCTTGAGAAAGTTCCGTGGCCGAGAACTAAATAACAGGCAGACAAATGAAGTCACTCATACAGTACATGTAAAAATAATGCTGCACGTATGCTGAACTTCTTTCGCACCGTATGTTGCCGACCGTGCAAATCGGTGGCGCGCGATACCCTCTCCTAATCCTCATCACCGGTCCTAATTGTCGCTACCTTCACCTCGATCACACTGCCTTTCCAAGCCAGCCTTGCGCCAGTCCCAATGTCGCTTCCTCGCCAGCGTTGGGGTGACCGGGACCCTTCCCCGGATGCTGACCGGGTTCGGGGAGAAGAGGGCCCACGACATCAGGTGTGGCCCCGAGAGTGCCAACTGGGCCACGTAATGCGCGCCGAAACATTTCACGGTACAACTCTGACGGCATCCACGAGAGGCAGGGCTGACACGGGGAGGTGGGGGTTATTACTCAGCTGCGCTTGGTGACCGTGAGTCGCTGGGGGATAAAACGTCACAAGGCCCCCTGGTTAACCGCAGCCCA